ACTTCACAGAGATGTTTCTTCCAGGGGTCCTTTTAAAGAGAAATTTGTATAATGTAGTGAATCTCAAGGAAAAATAATTTCATAGTAAATACTCCAGCAGGCTGCTCCCTTTTTGAGGTGCTCCGGTACAGATTAGATGCATCACACTTGAATACCTAAGTGAAATCGTTCTCTGAGTGCTAAAGCATGAGGTAGTTTGGTTTTGAGATGGCTTAGGCACCTAGAAGATTTTACAGACTTCATGTTCTTTAAGCAGCTGTCTGTGAAGCTTTCTGTCAGCTATAGATGTTTGAAAATCCTGAATAACAGTAACTGTGAGGTAATATTCTTTCTTTGGTAGTTCCTATATTATTGGTTATATATATGATATGCTTTTTGTGGCCTATTAAGAGGGAATCGAGATTGACATATATATTGAAAGAAAAGGTTGAACAAGACATTACCTAAAGGGAATGTTTTTCTTGTTCTTTATAGTTGAACCAGAATAGTGTTTATGTGTCAAAATTTTTCTCAAAACATTAATTTCTGGTCTGATCCAGTACTTGTACAAATAGTTGATTGAGGCCTTTCCTTTAAGTCTGTGGTATTGTAAGGTAGCCAAAATAATTAACTTGTTTAGCTCAGCCACCAATGTTAAAGTTTTAAAAAACAAAAGGAAAATTAACTTTGGTGTGCCTTAGCAATCGTAGCACTCTCCTACAACTGTTTTTGTCCATTAAGTCAGAGACAAAAGAAAGCTCTTTAAGAGGCAATCATCATCCTTGTGTTCCTGACAGAATTTCCTGCCTTGTGATAAAATATATAATAAATTATCAATATGGTAGAAATGGCTGTTCTTAAAATTCAGCTGCTCCTCAGATGCCATACCATCCTGAAATCTCACCAACAAAGTTAACATGCATTAATTTTATTTTTAAATCAGAAATTATATTAGTTAAGTTTAAAACAGGGACACTGTTTTCTATGTGTTTTTGAACTTGTCAGCAGCATTTTTTCCTTGGCCTCTGCCTGAGTGGAGGGTCTTCACGGTGTGTTTTACTTGACTTCACTTCCTCATGGAGATTCACAGAAGTCCTTCTAATCTAACAGACCTGTAAGTAAATCACATGCCAGTTCAGGGAACTGATCCAAAAACCCTTTTGCGTCCCCTATTTACTAGAGTTGTTTAGATGTTTTATCTCAGCATTAAGGAGTTTGCTAGTCCTGTGAGATTAGCGCTACTTTTGTTGATGGTATAGCACCACATGGATGGCCAAAAGCTGACTTTTGTGAAAGTAACAATTCCAAAGCACTGGATGGGTATTCAACATGTTGATGTATGTATTTAGGGTAGCATCTAGCTGATTTATGGATTTGCATTTCTTTAGTTCTCCTCATCCTTATCTTGGTATCCTGCATAGAAAATTCAGGTAGCATCTAGCTGAATTATGGGTTTGTATTTCTTTAGTTTTCCTCATCCCATCTTGGTATCCTGCATAGAAAATAATTTTTCCAGTCACAAGTAGCTCTTGCCACTTCTCTGTCAGGATGTTGCAGCAGACTTCATGATAAAGAATTGTATTCCCTGCTTAGAAAACAATCTTACTTTCCTTTCCACTGTGAAATATTTTAGGATGCAGACAGAGGCTGTGACTCAGCGGTTGCTCAGAGGACTCAAATAAGCCGGGAGATGCTGCCGCGCTACTGGGTGCCTTTCTGTGTAGTACTTGCATACTTCCTGCCTTCCCTTGTAGAAGAATGTGCTTGTTTATAGAGGGGAATTTGAAGAGTATGGAGGAAAAACTAATATATAATTGGGGAGGGGCAATGTTCTCACTGACTTCAGTAGTTTTACCTCATTTGCAAATAGGAATGATAATTAATAAATTAAAATTTTGTTTTCCATAGCTAAAGTGGCCCAAAGTGGTTTTTCATTTGAACTTGATATTATTAGATTTCTAAAGTTCTGTATTTCTGCTTTATATTTATTTAATCACTCCAGTTTCTCATAACTCTACTTACATACTTTTAGCTATTTGTTGGTAGGGATCTTAGGATATTTTTATTTTTGTATGGAATTTTTAATATAATTAAGGTGTTAACCCTTTTTATTTTGTATGGTTCCTTTTAAAAACTAGAAACTAAGCCCCACCAGCTTAGTAGAACTGCTACTTGAAAGTGACAACGTTTCCTTAAAAAGAAAAATACATAAACATGAAAATTTTTCAAATGATTTTATTTTTTTCCCAGCCAGTATAACTGTTGGAAGGCTTTTTCTCTCAAGTATGCTGATTAGAGGTCTTATATTCCATTGTGAGGTAAAGGTCAAAATATGTATCCTCTAGAGATGAAAGGATTCATGTACTTTCAAAGATCGAAGGACTTTTTTCTACCAGCTATCTGCCATTAATATGTCCATTTTAAATGGAATGTAACTTTTCAAAAGTAAGTTTTAATTCATTGTATTGTTTAAAAGGCTTCTTCGTGCAAATGAGCCTCTCAGAGTGAAAGTTACGGGCAGGGTGCCTAGGATCCCTGTTTACTTGAATACTAGGTATTAGACCCGAGTGTAGTATTGACTTAATGAATTTGTTAATCTGGATTTTCATTGGACTTCTGGCTAAGATGGAGGTGTAGGTAAATACAGTTTGCCTCCTCATACAACCCAAAGAGGAACAACAACAAATTTAAAAACAAAAAAAACTTCCAGAGAATTGATCTGTATGGAAGTCCAACACCACAGAGTTAAAGAAGAAACATTCAGACTGGCAGTAAGGGTGCAAAGGACTCTTGGATAGGTGGTGGAGGCTGCAGGACTGGGTAGTAGAGGCAGCCTCTGGCAGTCCCATATGGTCCCATATATGTGTGTGGATAAACCAGGAGGAACAACTGGGGAATGCGATAGAATGTGCACCCCAGTATTCAAGCATGGAACCCTGTGGGGTTGCAGCTGTAGGAGAAATGCCCAGCCTCATAGGAGAGTTCACTGGACAGTCCCACAGGGTCCTAGAACGTGAACAGACCCACCCAGCCACCCGGGAATTAGCACCAGAAGGACCCAATTTGCTTGTGGGTAACAGGGGCAGTGACCAAAAGCAGGGCAAGAACCAAACAAGTGGTATTGTTCCCTCTATGATCCCTCCCTCACGTTTAGCATCACAACACAATGAACAGGGATCGCCCCACCCTGGCAAATACCTAAGGCTCCACCCCTTTCAGTGTAACAGGTATACCAAGGCAAAGAAATATGGCCCAAATGAAGCCCTAGAAAAACAGATCAAAGCTCCAGAAAAACAATTAAGCAACGGAGAGAGAGCCAACCTATCACATGCAGAATTCAAAGCACTGGTAATCAGATGCTGACAGAAATGGTTGAGTATGGTTGCAAAATAGAGGAAAAAGTAAAGGCTATGCAAAGTGAAATAAAACTATACAGGGAACCAACAGTGAAGGGAAGGAAACTGGGACTGAAATCAATGGTTTGGAGCAGAAGGAAGAAATAAACATTCCATCTGGGGCTGTTCCCAGCCCCAGAACAGAATGAAGAAACAAGAATTTTTTTAAAATGAGGGGCTTAGGAACCTCTGTGGCAACTTTAAACGTTCCAACATCCAAATCATAGGGGGAAGGAGAACTTCCCCGATCTGGCAAAGGAAAGAGACTTCCAGGAAGTCCAGGAAGCTCAGAGAGTCACAAAGAAGCTGGACTCCAGGAAGCACATACCAAGGCACATCACAATTACATTACCCAAGATTAAAGATAAGGAGAGAATCTGAAAAGCAGCAAGAGATAAGGGGATAGTCACCTACAAAGGAGTTCCCATAACACTAGCAGCTGATTTCTTAAAAGAAACCTTGCAGGCAAGAAGGGGCTGGAAACAACTATTCCAAGTCATGAAAGGCAAGGACCTTCATTCAAGATTACTCTATCCAGCAAAGCTACCATTGAGAATGGAAGGGCAGATAAAGTGCTTCCCAGATAAGGTCAGGTTAAAGGAGTTCATCATCACCAAGTTCTTATTATATGAAGTGTTAAGGGGATTTACCTATGAAAAAGAAGATGATCAAAACTATGATGACAACAACCTCACAACTATCAACAACTCAACCTAAAAACAAAAACAAACTAAGGAAACAACTAGAACAGGAACAGAATCACAGAAATGGAGCTCACACGGAGGGTTATCAGTGGGGAGGAGGAGATGGGAGAATGGGGAAAAAAGTACAGAGAATAAGAATCATGAATGGTAGATACAAAATAGACAGGGGAAGGTTAACAATACTGTAGGAAAGGGAGAACACAAAGAACTATGTGTGACCCATGGACATGAACAAAGGTGGGGAAATGCTGGTGGGAGGGGCGGTTCAGGGTGGAGGGGAATAAAAGGGAGAAAGAAATGGGACAACTGTAATAGCATAATCAATAAAATGTACTTTAACAAAAAATTTTTTAAATCTTTTACTAAAATATTTGGATATGGGAATAACATCTGGATTTTCATCGATTAATGTTGTGTAAGACAGATAATACCTGTATACATAATACAAATAATATGAGCAGCTAAGGAGCTATATTAGGAGCAAGATTAAATCAAAAACCTTCTGATAAGATGAGTCTTTGGCATGTGTTTTCAGAAATGTAGGGTTCTAGGATTGTGGAGAGAGAATTCCAGGCTTTTAAAATGGCATAAACAATTAGTCATTTCTAAGTAGTACAGTTGGTTTTGGCTTTGTTTTTTAATAATGGTAAGCAATACCCATGGAGGAAAACCTCATTTAAAATGTATAATCAGCCCTGCTGTGTGTGGCTCAGTGGATTGAGTGCTGGCCTGCGAACCAAAGTGTCACTGGATCAATTCTCAGTCTGGACACATACCCTGGTTGCAGGCCAGGTTCCCAGTAGGGCGCTTGTGAGAGGCAACCACACATCGATGTTTCCGTCCCTCATTTTACTTCTTTTCCCCTCTCTAAAAATAAATAAAGTCTTTTAAAAGATACGATAAAATGTATAATTGTTTCCAGGCTTCAGAAACTAGCTTTAAGAAATAATTCCACGACTACAATCCAACACTTACGACTGCTAATTAGAGGACAAGATCAGGACTCCTTTCAGGTTTGTAGAACACTTCATTTGTTCTGTTTTATATTCTGTCTAGATCCAGAAAACTTACATATGCATACCATTTTGTGTTGTCTTTGAATTCTTTGTGTTATTGGTATGTTGTATTTGTGCTAATGCTTTGTTTTATACAGTTATTATTTTTAAATCGTAGCTTCAACACACTTTTGGTTCAGAAGAGCGATTAACTAGTAACTGTGAGATCAAAATTCGTCCAAAAGAAGATATTAACATCTTTGTACTATTTTCACCTACTCGATTATCTTCCATGTTAGCTAAACTAGAAATTAAACAACTTGGAATTCGATCACAGCCGGGTATTAAGTTTGCGGTAAGTAATTTCACTGCATTTTTTTTTTCATTTTATGTACTCCATTTTTATAAATCAAAATACCTGATTCTCTGGATTTATAGATTAGAGCATACTTATTTATTTTTAGAATTGTTAGGTTGTAAAAGTAGCCACCATAGTATTTATATAAGTCATAATCTCTTCTAATGGATTTAAGTTTCATTTCAGTTTGAGAACTTTGAAATATACCTATTTTTTCAAGACCACATTTTTTGGCAAATGCACTTGAAACTGCTTAAGATACTGTCTTTCTAAGTAAATTTTATTCAGTCAGTTAAAAATATCTATTAATGTGATTTCTTAAACTCTGTTTTGGATAGTGGTAAACAGAGAATGGAGTTTTTATATTTTGTTTCTTCCATCATAATTTTTTTAAGAATTTCAAGTTATTTCTTAGGTACATTGAACACTATAAGAAAAAAAGTGGTAAATCATTGAGAAAAGGAAAATGAAATTGAAGATTCACTAATGTTCATATCTTCAAACTGCACAGTTGTTTGGTAGTGGGGCTGGGACTAAAATTATGGTTCATTTCCTAGTGAGAAAAGGGAATGGGATAAATGACAGGATTAACAATACCTAAAAGGTTTTTCTAAATAGCTACTACTGACAAATTCAGCTTTATTTAATGTTAGGGCTTGACATGTTCTCTCTAGGACCTTCTTTTGACCCTGTGAAGTGTGGCGGACAAAATTGCCTAAAGATACAAATGGTCGTTTTTATTTTACTTCAGTTTTTAAGTACATTTTATTGATTATGCTATTACAGTTGTCCCATTTCTTTCTCCCTTTTATTCCCCTCCACCCTGAACCGCCCCTCCCACCAGCATTTCCCCACCTTTGTTCATGTCCATGGGTCACACATAGTTCTTTGTGTTCTCCCTTTCCTACAGTATTGTTAACCTTCCCCTGTCTATTTTGTATCTACCATTCATGATTCTTATTCTCTGTACTTTTTTCCCCATTCTCCCATCTCCTCCTCCCCACTGATAACCCTCCGTGTGAGCTCCATTTCTGTGATTCTGTTCCTGTTCTAGTTGTTTCCTTAGTTTGTTTTTGTTTTTAGGTTGAGTTGTTGATAGTTGTGAGGTTGTTGTCATCATAGTTTTGATCATCTTCTTTTTCATAGGTAAATCCCCTTAACACTTCATATAATAAGAACTTGGTGATGATGAACTCCTTTAACCTGACCTTATCTGGGAAGCACTTTATCTGCCCTTCCATTCTCAATGGTAGCTTTGCTGGATAGAGTAATCTTGAATGAAGGTCCTTGCCTTTCATGACTTGGAATAGTTGTTTCCAGCCCCTTCTTGCCTGCAAGGTTTCTTTTAAGAAATCAGCTGCTAGTGTTATGGGAACTCCTTTGTAGGTGACTATCCCCTTATCTCTTGCTGCTTTTCAGATTCTCTCCTTATCTTTAATCTTGGGTAATGTAATTGTGATGTGCCTTGGTATGTGCTTCCTGGAGTCCAGCTTCTTTGTGACTCTCTGAGCTTCCTGGACTTCCTGGAAGTCTCTTTCCTTTGCCAGATCGGGGAAGTTCTCCTTCCCCCTATGATTTGGATGTTGGAACGTTTAAAGTTGCCACAGAGGTTCCTAAGCCCCTCATTTTAAAAAAATTCTTGTTTCTTCATTCTGTTCTGGGGCTGGGAACAGCCCCAGATGGAATGTTTATTTCTTCCTTCTGCTCCAAACCATTGATTTCAGTCCCAGTTTCCTTCCCTTCACTGTTGGTTCCCTGTATAGTTTTATTTCACTTTGCATAGCCTTTACTTTTTCCTCTATTTTGCAGCCATACTCAACCATTTCTGTCAGCATCTGATTACCAGTGCTTTGAATTCTGCATGTGATAGGTTGGCTCTCTCTCCGTTGCTTAATTGTTTTTCTGGAGCTTTGATCTGTTTTTCTAGAGCTTCATTTGGGCCATATTTCTTTGCCTTGGTATACCTGTTACACTGAAAGGGGTGGAGCCTTAGGTATTTGCCAGGGTGGGGCGATCCCTGTTCATTGTGTTGTGATGCTAAACGTGAGGGAGGGATCATAGAGGGAACGATACCACTTGTTTGGTTCTTGCCCTGCTTTTGGTCACTGCCCCTGTTACCCACAAGCAAATTGGGTCCTTCTGGTGCTAATTCCCGGGTGGCTGGGTGGGTCTGTTCACGTTCTAGGACCCTGTGGGACTGTCCAGTGAACTCTCCTATGAGGCTGGGCATTTCTCCTACAGCTGCAACCCCACAGGGTTCCCTGCTTGAATACTGGGGTGCACATTCTATCGCATTCCCCAGTTGTTCCTCCTGGTTTATCCGCACATAAATGTAGGAGTATGTGGGACTGCTCCCCACTACCTCACCTGCCCAGAACTCCAGCTGCAGCATGTCTTCGCTGCCTGCCTGCCTCCACCATTGCTGCCAGTCTGAATGAATGTTTATTCTTTAACTCTGTTGTTGTTGGACTTCATACAATTTGGTTTTCTGGCAATGGTTGTTATTTTTTGTTTTTGAATTTGTTGTTTTTCTTCCTTTTGTTATGCTTGAAACAATAGGTATTTTCCTATGCCTCCATCTTGCCCAGAGTCTGTAAATGGTCATTTTTAGAAGTAACATTTTACACATGAGCCCCAGACACAATTTCATATATTGTGTCTGGTTTCATGTAAGGATCAAGTGGTTTGTGGAGTGGACTGAATGAGTTGTATCTTTTAGACTATCCTGAATATGCTGTAAATATTTTCATGTTTGTTAGCCAAGATTTTGAGGTTATTCCTAAGGAAGAATCTCTGATGATTTAGGGCCCAACCATTTTATGTGACAGTCAGTCAAGCCTGAGGTTCAGGTTAGTGTCCTCTTAAGACCAACCAGGATCCTAATCCAGTCATATTGGTGGCAAATGTCACCCTTCTCTGAGAGTGGGCTGAGTGGGATTTGAAGTGTACAGAATATGGCTCTTATCTCACCAGAAGACTTCTTAGACCATTAACTTTGATAATGTCTTTGTGAAGACAAGTAGCCTGGTGTAGTTATGGAGGAGCACTTTAGTAATGAGAGAATCAGGAACAGTCCTCTTTTCTTCACACTCACCCTGGATCAATTACTTAAAATATGTGCTTTACTCCCTTATCTGAAATGCATATAATTTTCACCACAATTTCCCAGTTTGGTTCTGAGAAGGAAATGAAATGATTTCTGCTCTGTATATACAGCATGGTGGGACTACAATAAATGTATTTATTGCATGCTGAGTATATGCCAGTCACTCTTCTTAATGATTACATGGTCCAGGAAAGGTTCACATTCAGGGTACCTGACTATAGAGCTATCTGTGGGCAGGTTGTAGGCATTCACACTAGCTCTTCTTTTCTAGTGCTATAGAATGGCAGTGCTCAACCAGAGGCCATTTTACCTTCCAGGGGATATTTGGAAACTTCTGGAAATATTTTTGGTGGTCATAATTTGGAGTTGGGAAGATGGTGTGTCTGGCGTCTGGTGGGTAAAGGCCAGAAATGTAGCCAGACACCCTATAATGCTCAGGGTGACCCTCATCACAGCAGTCTGGCTCAAAATGTTCACAATGCTGAAGTTAAGAAACCCTGCTCTAGAGTAATAGTTTTTTCTTTTGAATCTTTGGGTTTACTAGCATTAGTTAGATTTTATTATATTTAGTCATTCTTAAGCTTTTACTTATTTGTGATTTCTTACGCTTTGAAAATACAGATAAAATATTTATATTGAGTCTTTAAAAATAATAGATTTTTCCACCAAAACATTTCATTTCAAAATTTTAGAATGCTGGAAAATTTAAAGAACTGGACAGTAAACTCAGATACCCCACTACTTACAATTAATGTTTTGCTATATTTCTTTTATACATGTCTAACCATCCATCAATTCATGTATTTTTTTAAATGCATTTTGAAGTAAATTACATCAATGCATTTCACTCTCAACTCTTATTAAGTAAGGACATCTATACTGTACCAGTCTTTTTGTTCCTGTATTATTTAAGGTTGGCTTTTATGAAAATGAGGTAATTATTCTTAGCATATTGGAAGGAAAATAATTTTGTACCTCTTTGAGGTGTTTTTCTCTTAATACAGAGTCTTTAATACAGTGTTGGGCTGGAAGTGAGATAACTTCCAAAGTACACAAAGAACAATAATGTTAATTATATTAACTCTAGTGTATATATTTTCTTCTCTGGCCTTAATTTAATCTGATTTCTACTTATATAAAGATAATTTTGAATGTATGTATTTTCTGTTCTTTCAGATACCTTTGTCTGGATATGGAGGAACAAGTAATGTTATTTTGGAAGGTGTTAAAAAATTATCTGACAGTTACATGGTAACAATGAATGACTTAATACCTGGCAAGGAGAGTAGAATTGTTTTTTCTGTTTGTAACACCGGCTCTCGTGCAGCTTTTGTTAAAGCTGTAGGTTTTATGGATTCTCAGAAAAAAGTTTTCCTGGATCCTAAAATATTAAGGATTTTTCCAGATAAATTTGTGCTTAAGGAAAAAACACAAGAAGTAAGTATAAAAGTCTCTGCACTAAAAATATAAACTCATTTTTAGGTTAAATTAGTAAGTGTGTATTTAATGGCCCAAAACTGGAAAAAAAAAAAAAACATTTGAAATATATAGAGGAATAAAGGTACTTATCTTCTTGGAAATGCTATACATTTGCATTCATGTCTACATTGACTGTTAGGCTCATATGACAGTTTATTAAGAGTGAAATTACTTACCCCCCAAATATTTAATATTCAGTTTGACTGTTTTCTTGGCATCAGGTTGTTACCATAATATATAATCCACCAGACAGTGATAGCAATCACAAAATCGCAACAGAACTGTCCACTATATACTTCTTTGGCGGAGATGAAATTTCACGACAACAATATCGAAGGTAGGTTACTTATCTTAGATAGTACTGGTACCTTTTAAATAGAAATAATGAAGACTTAAAAAATTGTTTGAGATTTGGAATTTATAGCACATTTCATTACTTATTAGTGGACCAGTAGATGAAAACAATCTTGGTAAAATTTGTGTAGCCGATAAGTAGAAGTGCCTATAGGAAACTCACCCATGTTCACATAGGACTATCTCTGTAGTGATGGTTGATGATTTCAGAAAAGGCTTAAAAATTACTAAAAGTATGTTGTTTAAACACACCTAATTTGGAATATTTCTAAGAAGGTTGTCAGTTATTTGAAAGGAATTTTAGAACTGCGTGGGATGTTTAATATGACTAGCTACTTAAAGCATGTACTTCTAGAAAATTTGTTACATCTAATTTAAATATAGCTTGTTATGCTGAAATGTCAAGTTTAGGTATTTAAGTTTAGATATAATTTAACATAGGTAACATTCTTGTATGCTGAATTCAGAATTCTTATATTATCAAATTGTGTTCCCTAGCCTAGAAAACTAAATATAAAATAATTGTGAAGTTCATGATGTTTCATCTGGTAGTAGTAAATAATTAACTGCCAGTAGAGGACATGTTATATGCATATGCCAGTCTTTCCTTCTCCCAATTTTTGTGCCCTGCAATGTTTTATTGTGGTGCAGAATTTAGAAAATTTTGTTTAATTTTTAATCTGTTGAGGATAATTGGAATGTTTACACAGAGAGAGAGAGTATAGTGATAAGTAGGTACCTAATGTGAAAATAGACCCAATTGAAGAACTCAACTTTGAACCTGGTTTTGTTTCTCAATTATGTATTTTAGATATAGAAACAGGCATTTGGAGAAATTAGATTACCAGATTTTTTCTTTTCTCCACTGGATTATAGAAATCAAGGTATTGTTTTGGAACTCCAGTTTGCCACAGATTTAGAGTAGTAAGATTTCACTTGCTTATGAATATCTGAGTATTTCAGTGAAATTTACATTTCAGTTCTCACACATTCTCTAGAAGAGGCCAGATAAATGTAGTTATATGGTAATTTAGATGTTTCCCTTTCATATCTTAATTTGTATCATTTTCTTGGCATACTCTTTTTTTTTCACCTGAGGCAAATTTCTGTTACTAAATTAAATATTAAAAATATAAGACCTGAAGGAATCTTAAGTTCATTCTTCTTTCTACTCATGTTAGGGAGTTCTTTTTCTGATGTTAATATTTAACTGAAACTGATGGATGTACTATCATAATTTTTAAGGGAATCTCCAAAACAGATTTCTTTTTAAATTACTTACTAGGATTAGTACATGAGATCTGTGTACTAATATATCATGCTGTTAGTTGAATTTGCCAAATGCACTAATAAAAACAAGGTCATTTCATATGTAAAACCACCTTTGAATGAAAAAATCTCTCTTTGCAGGGCTCTTTTGCATACACCAGGGATTGTAGAACACATATTTCCAGAGCATAGTATGCTTCAAAGCATTGACTTTGCTGAAGGATTTCAAGATGAGCTGCTAGTAACTGAAGGTAAGAATTTCATCATGTCTTAAATCTTTGAATCATTTGTAGTATTTTCTAGATCCATTGATGTGGTAAGAAGGAAGAGTATTAGTTTATGGCAGCAGGCAGAGTTTGAGCCATTGTTTCTGCTATATTACTTTGGACATATTATATCTCTGAAATTCATTGTTCTGTAAAATGAGAGCAGTAATAATAATAGCTAACTTCTCATTTATATAGTTTAAATGTTAGATATCATTAATATATTTTTGCACCTATTCTGTGAGTGGAGTTTTAAACAGGAGGAAAATGGTTATTATTAAACTTAAATTAATTACTACTCAAGATTTAGTGTTTACAAACTTAAACTCGTTTAGAGATTTCGATCCTTTTTTGCCTACTTTACAATTTTGGAGGATGTGATCATGGCAAAATCCTGAATAGTGGTGGAATGACTAACTTAGATATTTAGTTCTGTTTGATATTAACAATTTAAAGATTTAATGGCATTTATTATTCACACAAAAATATATGTATTCAGGCATACAAATTGTATAAAAGTGTACAGATTTTCCCCACACAGTATTTTTTTATCAAAGTAAGAGGAAATTATATAAATGTCCAAAAGAAGGGGATTGTTTCATTTTGCAATATACTATTTTGAAGCTATTAAAAACAGTGATCTAATTCTATATTTTATTGAGAAAAAAATTTTTAAGGTTTGCATAGTAAGATCTTATTTTGGTATAAAAATAATTTTGTGTTTTTATATAGTACATAGGTAAAATTATAGGAGCATAGAATTTTACTTTGTGGTGTTCTCCCCACTTTTGTTTTTTAGTTTTTAAATGATGCAATGTGGATATACATTGATTCTGAAATATGCAATGATAAAATAAAAGGATACTTATACCTATGTAGAGGTGATGTAGTCTGTATTCTTTCAGCAATTAAGAGTTTAGAACATCTGCTCAAAGGGAAGACAGCAATAGGGGTTAGTTAAAGATAATAAAAAGATTAGAAGTGGATTTTGCCACTTCTAATCTTACGTGTTAAGGCAGCAGAGTATGGAAGGAACCTTGGATTTGAAGTTGAAACTCAATTCAAGACCCATCTCAGCCACTTCATCTCCCCTGAGCTTCACCTTTCTTATTTCTTACCTCTAGAAAGATCCCAATAAAAGAATTAAATTAAACTGTGCTATGTAGTTGAAACAAACATTTAGTAACATATTGAAGCAATAGTGAAGACTAACTCAAAGTAGGTAGTTGGAGTTTGTAGTGGTTCAGAACCTGGCACAGTTTCTTAATTCAGTAACATTTCATTAATAGACTGGACATGCATTGAGAGTACAGGGTGTCAGTGTCTAGAGGTAAAAGATGCGGTGCTTGTCCTTTAGAGGCTTTACAGGCTCTGGGGAAGACAGATAATTAAGGTACAGTGTGAAAAGTGCTGTGATAGAGCTGTGTTTAGGATTCTGGGAGAGCACAAAAGAAGGGTGCCCCATGTAGAATGAAGTGACTGTAGAGGAATCTTTTTTCTTTATAAAGATTTTATTTATTTATTTTTGGAGAAAGGGGAAAGGGAGAAAGAGAGGGAGAGAAACATTGATCAGTTCCTTCTCATATGGCTCGTATGCACACCGACCAAGGACTAAACCAGGGCAGTCCAGACATATGCCCTGACCTGGAATCAAACTGGCGACCTTTCAGTCTGCAGGATGATGCTCAACCCACTGAGCTGCACCAGGCAGGGCTGTTGAGGAATCTTGAAGAAGCAGATGGTGAAGGGAGAGGAAACCTCATACAAAATCAGCAAATGTGTTTGTTATATTAAGGGTTATGTTTATAAACCCAAGAGATAAATAAGTAGCATGCCAAATTACCCATCTAAGATGGGAGTTGAATTGGGGCTTTGGAAGTTCTTTGGAATGACAGGCTCTACCTCAAGGAATACTGGGTGTTTCAAGGTGGTATATTTATTGTACAAAGAGAGGAAACAACCCCACTTTATTTTGTGTTGTTTCAGTAGATCACCGACGAGAATGTTTCATTTGAACTTTGTACATGATTATTTTGAATAATTTTTGTTTAAGCATATTACTATTATAAGTATTTATAATCTTGCTTTTGTAAAATGTGTAATTAGTGGCAAGTCACAGTTGATTTAAACTTTTACAGTCATATATTGGCTACTATAAATTTCAATTTGTATTTAATTCTTAATATCTAATTTATATGTAGAATACAAACATGTTCTATAACATTTCAAGTATATGTAAATTCAAGTGGACTAATCTAGAAATGTTTAACCCCAACACCATTTTATTAGTCTACAATATTTAATTATATAATATTGCCTGGTTTCTAGATTTGCAAGTTAAATGTCTGTAAGACTGCTACTTATAAATTTGCTCCTAACCTCTTTGTGCTTCAGATACTTTATCTTTGATGTTAAGATATTACCTATCTCAAAGGGTTGTGAAAACCAACTAGGTTAATATATACAAAGGGAATAGAACATTGCCTGGCCCACAGTATGCTTTATATAAGTTTGTGTCACATCAAGTCCCTGTGTGTCCGTCCATGTCGTGTCATCGTGTGTGTGTCCCTCGCCCCATCACCACCACAGATAAAAGTGAAACTACCAAGACATGAGCTGCTTGGGGAGGAAAGGTGGCCGATCCCTCAAAGGGGAAGGGCCAAGAGCCCCTTCCTCAAGGGGCTTTTATTGGGTTCATTTGCACAAGGATACAGGTAAGGATCAAACAATAGACATCATTCAAAGAACTATGAGGGCTTATTCTCAGTCAGGGTCAGATAGCTAAAGAGCCATAAAACTTTGAGGAACAAACTTCTTGCTTGGACCCTTATCATTTAAATGAGAGCATTCTAAACAAAGCAGGTTTCACAGGATTTTACATATTCTTTCTTAGACCTGATCACCCTGGGGAACCCGCCCTTTCCAGCACAAGGCAGTACCTCCTTCCCCATCATAGGTTTTTAGGTTTAAGTGGATTAGAGCCAGGAAGCCCTTCTCCCAGAGGGAAATGGGGACTCAGGCTATGTCAGAATAGCGGTGGTGGGGGGGAGGGTTGGGGGGGTCCAACACTTCCTCTTTGTCACAGCGTGCCCCCCCCCTCCATGATAGCTTCCCAAGTGATCATGTCTGACTTAGGTTGCCCCCACTCTGAGGGGTCTTACCCATCTCTGACTAACCATTCAGGCACTGGGGGCAGGGGAGGAAGCAGAAGCAGCGCTTGCTACCTGAGACAAGCTTTGTCTTCTAAGTGACTTGCATTCTACAGGTCGCACACTCAGCCTTAGCCATGGGGGACAGTTACAACTCCTGAAACCAGGCAGAGTGGTTCCCAACATTTAGGTTAAGTTGCCAAAGGTTACATAGCTACTAATTGTCAAGGTTGTAGTTCAAATCCAAAGCCAGAGGCTGGACTGTTAATCATTGATGCTTGCTGAACTACCTATAATTTTATGCTTGTCAATAATATTAAAAATTAAAATGTCACCTACCCCCAATCTAACAGAGTCATGTTTTGTGGCTGGTAGACATACACAAGTTTATCTCGTATTTTGTGGTGTGATTATATGGATTTATATATTTCAAACATTGTTTGTATTTCAGTGTATGATCTTCCCCAACAGCCTAATGATGTTCAACTCTTTTATGGAAACATGAGTAAAATTACACTTTCAATAATTGGAGAATTCAGAGATTCCAGTTCTAGGAGAGAATGTCTTCAGCCTTCTTCCAAAGCTAACTTAGAATCAAAAAGGTAAAACAAACAAAACACCTGTCAACAGATTTCAAGGTTATTTGATTCATGGCATAGTTGATCTTTTCCCTGTACTTCATTATTTTTTTTGTCTCAAAGTGTTTATTTTACCTTTCTTTTTTTTTCTTTTTGGTTTCAGTTAAAATAATTTCAAATTTACAGAAAAGTGAAAGATACATTCAGAGAACTTCCATATACTACCTGTACTGAGATTCCCCAGTTAATGTTTTACCACATTTACCTTATTATTTTTCATGTATAAATAGCTTTTTTCTGAACCATTTAAGTGTACGTTGCAGGCATGATGATCAACTAGCCTTAAATTTCTTAAAAACACAACTGTTACAACTGTTACAAAATTATATAACCTTGGTAAACCCATCAAAATTAGGACAGTAATACTGAAACGGGCAGTTCTACAATCTAGTTCACAGATTCCATTAAAATATCCCCAGTTTCCCAATAATGCTTTTCATAATTAAATCAAGCAAATAATCAAGACCCTTTTCTCTTTCCTCTTTGGTCCAGAATTTAATCTAAGGTCACATTTTGCATTTATTTAGTCTGTATCTCTCTCTCTTTTTTTTTTTTAAAAGATTTTATTTATTTATTTTTAGAGACAGGAAGAGAAAGGGAGAGAAACATCAGTGTTTGGTTGCCTCTTATATGCCCCCTCCTGGGGACCCAACCCACAATCCAGGCATGTGCCCTGACTGGGAATTGAACCAGTGATCCTTTGGTTCACAGGCTGCACTCAATCCACTGAGCCACACCAGCCAGGGCAGCCTGTCTCTTCAATAACTTTTAATATAGAACTTCCTCTTTCCTTATCATCTATGACTGAGATAACACAGAGGGTTTTATTACCAAATTAGATCCACAGAATCAAATATATAAGTTTTACTAATAATTAGAATTAAGTTTTACTAATAATTTGAGGTGAAACATGAAGAAATCCAGATTACTAGTGGTGCCTCCTAAGTCCTTTTTGCAATATTAATTCTCCACTCTGGCTCAAACTTAATGCAAGTTGTGCATGTGATATATCACTAACAGAGAAGGTAGAGTGATATTGATCATGAAAGTTTGCTATATTTTGATAAAGTAATAAATCTCAGATTTTTAACCATGAATAATGTTAGACAGACCAGGAATATAACATTAAAATGTTCTGTAGATAAGGACATTAGTGTGTTTGCTAGGAGATGTCATTAACAAGATGATATCTGTATCACAGGTGGCAAACACGAGCTCCACTGGCCGAATCTTGCCCTCCACCTTGTTTTATCCGGCCTGGCACCTTGTTTCTACCCTGAGGCAGCACCGAGCTTTCGCTTAACCGTTAAGGAGTAATTACATTTATACAGTCCTAAAATTACATTTGACCCTTTGGAGGCAACCTCGAGGCTGATGTGGCTCCCAGTGAAAATGAGTTTGACATCCCTGATCGGATTTCACCAAGTCGGTTTTTTTTTTCCCCCCTGGGCATTCCCTGGTAAAATGGAGAAAATAGTTTGTAGACCAGCCGATAGCCCTTTTCTTAACAATGACCTTGATGTTTTTGTAGAGCACAGGCCATTTGCTTTGTAAAATATTCCTCAGTTTGCAGATTTTGAACACCACAGAAATGATGTTGTGCTTTCTCAGTGCATTGTCTCAGGTGGTAAACAATGCTGATTTTGTCCCATTAGTAGAAATATTTGTATCATTTAGTTAAAATAGTGCCTGCCAGGTTTCCTCTGCTGTAAAGTTAGTTAACATCTTGTAGAGAGAGACTTGGAGATGATAAATTATGTTGCTCCTCATCAAACTTTTAAAGCACCAGGTGATGATTGTTGCCTGAATCATATTGTTATTATTAGTATCTTGTTTACCAAATGATGATTTTCTAATTTTATTTTCCTGCATTTGTTAGTTATCTTTCCATTATGAGAAAGAGGTTTACTTTTCCCTCTTTTATGTATTCCCTCACTTACATTAAGACAGACTCATAAGTTTGGTATTAATTCTTTACTGTCATTATTTGGTCTCTTTTGGCTCCTTGATTCTTGTAGTGTGTCCACATCATTCTTTGAGCCCTTCCTTATTTAGTGGCACTACAGGATATTCTAGGCTCATCTTATAATTAACCTTGTCCAAGCTCCAGGATAGCTAGGAATTCTCTTAGAAGTCCTGGTTCTTTTTAGTAGAGAGTAACATTGAAGCCAAGATATGGCTAGTAGGTGTGCTGTTGCTTTTCAGATGCCATTACTTCTAGGCCTCCTTAGTAGACAGAGCTAGGAAATAAATGCATTCATATATAAATCCACATGTATCCATATCTGTCTGTAAATATGTTAAAACTCTGAGTTTATTTACACTGACACTTCCAGTTCTAATCTAGCATAATACAGTGTATTCTTTTTTTTTTCTCTTTCCCTAATTGTCCATTTTTCTGTAATACTGTGAATCCTGGCCTGATTTTCTCAATGTATTTACATTTTACTCAATCTTGCTGTTCTTAACCAATCTTCTCATCACATGGCCTATCTCCCTGGGCCCAGTGTTGCCAATTCATACTGCCTGAGAGTTCCCAGTGCCTGCAAGTGCCAGTGTCACCAACTAACCTCATTCCTGACTCACCAGCACCCACTTATATCACCCTAGTGCCTAGTGTCAGCCAGCTTGTTTTTTTCCCTATACTTGTAATGTTAATTTTCTTATAAGATAGTCAATCAAAGAAGGAATTAAAGATAGTTACATATATTTAAAAATATCTTGAAAATTCTTAGTGCGAGGAATTGGTTCTTAGGAAGTTAAAAGGCCAAGAATAAATTTTTTATTTTTTAAAAATTATTTTTGACACTGAAGACCAGGAAGCAGCATGTTTTTTAAAAAGTGCCAATGATGCAGTAAGATCAGGAATACTGTTAATATCAAAATTCAAGAAGGAGAGAATGACAACAGTAAGGGCTTCTGTAGCTGTAATGCTTCATATACTGAAAATTTTAGGAGACAGAAGCCCTGTGGCTGGACTCTTAGCTGCCATTGCATGTTTGAGTCTCTATGCTGCCAAGTTACTTACTTACTCAGATGGTTGCTGTAGAAATAATTATACTACAGAACTTTGAGGCTGCAAAGCAGATGGATGTTAAAGTAGAAATGCTGTGATCTTTATGTTTTTGTTCTAATATCCTCAAGATTAAAAAAGAGATAAAAGTTTAAAAAGTTATTTCTGACTTTTGGCAGGTGCTTCCATTATTTCCCTGGGGCAGTAGAAGTCTGCTTTGAAAAAGGAATGGGTGAGAGGGCAGTGGTAAAAGTGGAGAGAGGGATGTCTCTTTGCTGAGTGTCAACTTAAAGATGTTCCACTGTAGGGTAGGAGAATTTGGACTCTGCACAGTTGAACTTCAGTTAAGTCATGTGCTCTCATGATTACAAAATTTATTTGAACTACAGTTTTGTATAATCTAAGGCTTATTTGAAAATGCTATTTCAATACTTAATTAAGAACTTTTTAAACTTATTAGCATTGTTTACTGTGGTATTTTTCCCAGTAAAGACTTTTTTACCCAGAAGACTTTTCTTATTTTAGTTATTTTGGTGTTAGCAACATGAAACCAGTTATAAGTACATTAAGAGCTTCGTTTTCAAACAAAAAAATTCTTAATACTGAGTAATTTTCTAGTAAATTCTTATAAGATACCTCAGGTGGTATGCAGAAATTAAGGCAAGAAAGAAATTAAATCATTGAATATTCTTATAAAGATTATTATTATTATATTTGACCTATAGTGTACTTTATTTTTTATACATTAAGAATATACAATATGAAGGGTTTTTAGTCACTGAAAAATACACAGTATGTTAATGCACTTTTATATCACTTTTATTTTTTTCTTTCTCTTTTCCTATAGCGAATTTGACAGTCTTGGGAAACATGATGGCAATGTTTCTTTGGATGTTTTACCAGTTAAAGGTCCTCAAAGTTCTCCACTTTCTCAAGTTGTTCACCCACCTCAAGATAAATCATCCTCTGAGGAAATGTGGACCGTTCAACCAGAACACTTGATTTTGGTAGCTCCTTCTACTTGTAAGTATGTCAGCGATGACATGACAGGAATGCACTCCAAAACCCAGAGCTGTACTTATTTTGTACCCATGACTCATCTAGGAATATATATATGGACTTTATGCACCTATGTCCAGTGGCTTTCATAGGTCCTCCTCTCATCTGCTAGAGACCTAACAAACTTGACCGCAGCATTGTTCTGACACAAGGCCATGGTCCTCAGTCCAAGTTCCCAGTTTCCTGTACAGCAGAGCCACTTATGATCCATTGTCCCTTCATACCACCACATCCTCTGTGCAAAGAACTCATTTGGCACTTGGTTTCTTTTACCCTTAACATCTGTATAGTTGGTTCACAGTAGGAGTAAGTCTGGTATGTGCCTAAGATAAGACCAGGTGGTAACAGTTTCCAGATTTCCTTTTTTTCTCTCCCTTGTTCAGTATTTGAACTTTGTTCCATGTCTTTATAGTTTCTAAGAGTAAACAGGTGGTCTTGTTTTACCAGAGATTAGAAATTCCAAGTAATTGGGCAATTGAGAAAGCAAGAAAATCTGGTTTACTAGTGTACTTATTTAGGATTTTTACTCTTTATTAACTTTATCTTTTTCACTAATGCTAAATGTAAGTAACTTTTATTTATCTGATGTCATAGGTGAACTGGCAAAAACTGGACGTTTCCAGATTCTAAATAATTCTGTTAGGTTATTGAAATTTGAGCTGTACTGGCCAGCACATTGCCTTACAGTAACACCACAATATGGATTTATTCAGCCTGAGTAAGTATGACTTCTCTTTCCTCTGAGTTTGTTATTCAGGTGCTGGCATGGTGACTTTTTAAGGATGAAATGATATGCCATTTTAAATTATTCAGTAAAACTTTGCCATGTGCTGACTGTACAGTGGACCATGTCTGGTTCCATGGTACTTACAGTACGTTTAAGACTCAATGCTGCTTAGAGGAGTAAAGTCCATGTCTATAGCCAGATATCATATATAGCCTGTAAGGGTCAAGAAAGATTTGTGAGGTGGGAAAGTGTTCCTGCAGTAAAAGACATTAGAATGTTTTCTTACATTATTACTCTGACTACAAAACTACAGTGCAAGGGTTATCATTGTGCCTGTGATGAGGGGTGGTGGTCTCTAAAACCTCAAGAATTCTGCCTTTTATTACCTTGCATTGGGTTCACTTACTCTGCTGGTTTGGTCTAAAACACATTTTATAGACAAAGCTTCCTGACTTAGTATTTCTGAGCCATAAGCCCAGCCTGCCTTTTTTTTTTTTTGGCAAAGAAGATTCTAAGAAGGAAGTTTTAGGGGACCTAATGTTGATATTCTTCTGCCCTCTATATGCAGCTTAATTATTGATAGGAGGTAAAACCAAAGCTCTGCAGCTTTTTAGAAACTATATGGGTTGGCACAGAATATTCACATCTGAAAGTTGCTTCATATTTAGGAATAGCAACATTATTGGCAAAACAAGAACATGAAATTTATTTACTTCTGCAAAATGTTGGAGTATGCATTTTAGGAGTTTACTCAACTAAGACCTGAGGTAAGGTATGGTTAGGGACACTCCAGAGAAACATTCCTAGGACCAAAGTTATCAATTAAACATTTGCTAATTAATGGTTGAAAATTTAGGAATGTCATGGGACAGGTTGTTCACAAAAAACTTTTCCCATTGTCCCATGTGTTTAGCTATTAGCACTTGGAAATAATCTTTCTCTTTTTATGACATGTGTACCGAAATAGCTTTTGTGACTGGGGATTATTTTAAGTTGCAAATCTTAACTACATTGCTGGTATTTAAAAGTCGTCTTTGACATCTCATAGCTCTTGAAGAGAACAGTGAACACAGAAAGTGTAGCAACTGGGAAAAAAAGAAACAATCTTTTTTTTCATTCCTTTTTTGGTCTTCTCCCTATTCTTCCACTTTTCTTCCACTTTCCTTCCAACCTATCATGTTTTCTTTGTACTATGTTAGCTTTATTTTTTATTAAGCGTCTCAGAGCTTTTGTGGTATCGGTCTTTTGCACTAGAAATTTTAATTTCAGATTGCTTTTTAAATGCTGTTTCTATGGTGTGGTCTGTTTTCACAGGAGTTTTCCTTTAGATTTATTGGTTCATGCTACTTCTTGTTAGCCACTGATTTGAAGTTGATATAAAATGTGTATGAGATCTCAACTCCATTATCTGTTCTTTCTGAGCAATAAGGAAATAGTTGGTTATTGATAGGACAGTATAACTCTTATACTATTACTCTTAAAGTTTAGGATATTCTTGTTTTACATTATTAAATTCTTTGTTTTAAGGAGTAAGCTACAAATTCTTGTGAGTCCTAATTCCTCCTTATCCACAAAACATTCAGTGTTCCCATGGAGCGGTTTGATCTATATACACTGTGACAATGGACAGAAGGTACTTTTTAAAGATTTTTTGATCAACATTTCTCTTACATCTTAAGTGTTGTAAAACTAACTAGCATTTACATTGTAGAAATCAAATGAAAGTGTCTGCTCTTTCAGCTCAACTAGACTTATTTAAATAGAGCATTTCGTAGAGATTTTCCATTAGTGATCTGAATGATCTCCCAGGTAGAGGCAGGAATGGAGAGTGGGGCCTAGGAGCCATTATTAATTTGCAAAATTTGCTTTGAAGAAAGGGGAGCTTGGGGACAAGGGATAAAGTCAGAGAGTTACTTTGAGTTCTGAATGAACTTAATTTCTAAATTCATCAGTGTTTTCATTATATTACTCATTTCTACCATGACTTAAAAATAGAAATTGTTTCTTTAAAAACGATAGCTATATTTGTCTCATCCCTTTATTCTGCTCATTTTAGAAAATAGTTAAAGTTCAAATTCGAGAAGAATTGACTCAAGAACTTTTCAATCGCTTGGCCTCCAGCTCATTTGGAATTCCTTCAGTAACTGAGCCTTTAATTAGTCATCTGGTAAAACCAATGACAAAACCACCTTCTACAAAAGTTGAGATAAGAAATAAGACTGTAACTTTTCCTACAACAGAACCTGGTGAAACTTCAGGTACAGTATGAGAAGATTATTTAATTCAAATGTTTACTGACATATTGAGTGTAATATTCTTTTCTTATGTTGGTGATAGGTATAAAATATGTATCCCCTTCAGGACAATATCAAGTGGTTATTGGCAAACATTTCAATGATGAGTGGATTTGGGGGAGCTTAAAAATAGTAAATTTTAAATCTAGGCATTTAACAAATTTATGTATTCCAGGAGTCTTAAACATTTTGTTTGGTCACAACCATCCTTTCCCAACTCTCACCATATTTTTGACTAGCTAGTTAGTAGCTGAAGAAGAGAGGAAAGTGGGTAGAGCCTGGTTCTGTCAATGATGTGACTTGAAGAGTTAGCATGTATGCATGTCTTATTCCCCCCATTCCCTCCCCACCCCCCAGTTCAGTCTAAAGGACTAGGATTGTAGGTGGGATCTGCTGGAAAGAATTTGAAACCACCTATCATTTGGCTGTCTAGCTTCTGGCCTCTTTCTTGATTTTGTTTTTCACTCAAGCTTAGTTTCCTACTTTCATAGTCGTTTCTTAGATTTGGTCATCACCAATAGCTGTACTGTTATTTTCACTCTCAGTTTCAAGCCTATTACTTTCTGACCAACACCCTCCTCTCTTTTCAGCTTACTCTAGGAATTACAGCAGTTCTCTGACCTTATTCAGATATTCAGGCTACTGACCCCACTACCCTTTCATTCTCTATCAACTCCACTTACATCCCACTTCTCTAATAACCCTCCTTGAATTTTGTGGTATATCTTTATACTTACTGCTTTATGTTTCATTTAACTGCCTTGTGCCCCTCTCCTTCTACATTTCTGTCTGGCAAAATCTCAACTCTTGTTAGAACCAGTTGTCTACCTCCTTCCTCCATGTCCCCATCTTAGCAGCAGAACATTGGTGGAGAAAACTATAGCCATGCTGACTGATTCTTGAGCTCAGCTCTCAGATCAACACTAGGATGTCTCCCAGTACTCCTTAGTGTGTCCTTTACCCATCTCTAACATTTAACAGCTCCTTTCTTAAAGCTCCTACTCCCCCATTCTCCCCTATTCTCCCCTATTCCTGCTCTCTTTTCAACTCTTGACTTAGCCTCACACGTCATTGAAAATAGAAGCCCTTAGGCTAAACAAAAAAGCCTTCTGTTTCCATCACAGATGACCTCTTCTGCTTCGAATCCAGGCCATCTATTTTCGCCTTCTCCGGGACTTCTAAGCTCTTTCTCCCTCCTGTGTCATCAGTTTTTCTCTGTTTGCTCATTAGTACATTTCCATTAGTACACAATACACTCTACTTTCACCTACTTAAGAAATGCCCTCCTTGGCTTGGCTGCAGCCGTCTGCTACCTCAGCACCCCTTTCTAGTGACATAATTATGCTCCCTACTTTCTCTTCTTTAGACTGTTTAGATGCTTCCACTACCGTACCCTGAAACAACCCCTATCCCGGTCTAAAAAGCTCCACTTTGCCAAATCTGCAGTCTCTTTTACATGTCCTTGTTGATTTGACCTCTCACCACTGTCGACTACTCCTTCCTCCTTGGCATACTTCCTCAGTATATCTCTGGTTTTCCCCTCCCTGCTTTTTGTACTCTGTTCAGGTTCTGCTGACTCCTTCCTGAACCCGTGTCTTCCTGGACCCCTTTCTTTTCTCTCGTACCTTTGCCCTAGATGTACACACTGGTACCTGCTCAGTTTCTGCATGTGAGCATCTCACAAAAATAAAACTCTTGTTTTACATCCACGAAACCTGCTTCTTCTTCAGCTTCACCCGTCTGTCAGTAAAAGACATCACTGTCTGACCATTTTGTTGAGCTAAATTTCTGGATGTTGCTTTTTCCCCCTTCCTCCTCTTATCCAGTCTGTTAGCTAGTCCTTTGCAGTTTGTCTTCAGAATAAGCCCCATATCTGCCCACTATTTTTTCTCCCATTGCCACGATTCAAATGTGATGTAGGCTATCTCATGCATCATCCCTCAACTGAAATACTGCAGTGACGTCTTACAAGGGCTCCTTCTTTTACTCCGACCCTCTTGCAGTCTCTTTTCTCTACAGCAGCCAGTCATTTCTTTAAAATGTAAGTCACCCTTTTGTTCCCTTGCTTAAAATCAAGCCTTTCAGTAGCTTTGCATTGCACTTGGATTAAATCCAAAATAAGATCCTGTCAAAGGTAATTTTGTTGTCAGAAAATACTATAGTTCTTGTTGGACTCCTCCAGGGATCTAATGATTGTATTTTTTTCTTTATGATGAAGTAATCACATTATCACAGTAATCTGCTTATTTACTTATTTTCCAAGAATTTGAGTTGTTACACATGTTTTTTTAGAAAATTTTCTGGAGCTTGAAAATCATGGTAACACAGAAGTGAAGTGGTATCTGTCATCTTTAGCTCCACCTTATGTCAAGGTCAGTAATAATTGCTGCAACTGTACTTGTCTTAATGTTTAAACCTTAGGTAGGGTATTTTAAAAATTGAATTATGAGTATAGGTTGAGATTATTGGCTTTTTGTTTTACTAATTTATTTACTTGATTTTCTCTAGAGGCCAGGCTAATACCTGCCAAATCTTTTTCACAAGGTGGTTTTGAGAGTCAACTTAGAGGATATGTGTGAAAATAGATAGTTGTTCCATTTAATGCTATCTCCTACAGCCCTGATTTTTATCTAGTGAAATAACTTCATTTTGAAAAATATATAAAAATATTATTATCGAATAGAATATTGGTGTGTGCATGTGCATGCTCATTTTCCTCTTCCATGTTCTGAGTACTAGTAATATGTTTTCCACCAGTGGAAGCTAGTGCAGGAGACAGAATTGAATGTTCTTTGCCACTAAGTGTAGCCTACTGTGTACCAGAAGTAGTATCTGCCAATGGGCACTGCTTAAATTGAGTGTGTTGTCATGTGTGTTTAGAACACTGTGGCCTTTTTTACATATATTTTGTGTGATGGTAACAGTTTTGAGCCATAATATTTTTATAAAGACATTATTTATTTTTAGAGAGGGGAAGGGAGAGGGGAAGAGAAATATCAATGTGTTTGCCACTTGAGCACCCCCTACTGGAGACCCAGCCTGCAACCCAGGCATGTGCCCTGACCTGGGAATCAAACTGACAACCCTTTGGTTCAGCGCTCAATTCACTAAGCCGCACCAGCCAGGGCTGAGCCATATTTTTTAAAAAGTGTGTAAAAGATAATGTATCGACTGAAAAGAAATAAACTAGTATTGCATATAATGTTGAAATATACATTCAGCAAAATCTTCAGGGTCGTTGTGGAAAAGGCAGTTTTTTGACATTATGAACAGCATTCTAAAGATCACTATAGCCAGAGAGGAGTGGCTGATGCAGGGAGCAGAGTCAGTGTGAGGCCTTGTGTGAGCCGAGTCTAATAGCACTTTAGAGCTTCCACTCAAGAGTAGGCATTGAGTTCTCCTTGTCTACTGCACAGTGGGTTTGCATGTCCTCGATAACCATAAAGGTAGTAGTGTCACTCAGAATTATTCTACTTACTTTCATTCTTTTGTTTAAATGGTTACTTTTTAGGGAGTTGATGAAAGTGGAGATGTTTTTCGAGCTACCTATGCAGCATTCAGATGTTCTCCTATTTCTGGTATAATGGAAAGCCATGGAATCCAAAAGGTGAGTTTTAACATTGTTTTTATAGCCATCTGGTATTGATTGGATGAGTGTCTCATTTGTTTACACCAGAGCGGTTTGCTTCCCTTGGACCAGTGCTCCTCACAGCCCGGCTGCTACAGGAGAAGAGGCCCAGCACAAGTCAGTGGGTTGCTTTCTGCAGCAGAAAGTCTTGGTCTCTAAATAGCAAAACAAAATACCATGCTTAGTGATATGATTGATTTACATTCTGATATAAGCATTTCATATGGCTGCAGGCTGCTAGTACTTTGAACACACTTCAAGTAGTGCTAATCTAGACAGTAGTTCTGTGGTGATAGTTGCACAATTCTGGAGGTATACTAAAAAGTAGTTGAAATGGGTGGATTGTATGGTATGTGAATTATATTTTAGTTAAGATATAAAGAAAAATGAGGGTGTAGGACTAGATTGTCTACCAGGAATTTCTTTTCACATAATGCTTAACATAGAAATGTAACCTCTGTGATTTTTGTTGTGTTCATACTGCACATCTTGACCTGAAGCAGTGCTTACCCTCTTGTCAAACCACATTTGTCCAATGAATTCCAGGTCTGATTTTTTAATTTAAGGAGGGTGCAGGCAGCAAGACACATCATTCTGGAGCCATTTAGGGAAATATTACCAAATAGTACAATTATTGAGGCATATTATAGTGTTCCAGAAGAAGGGAAATATTAAGTTATACAACCTAATTCTTAAAAATATATACAATAATCTTTTGAAACATTAGCCAGTTTGATGTGGGATTAAATAAGCTAATGATGTTCTCATTTCATTTCTGCTGTGTGACATGCAGTAATACTAGGTTTTTTCTCTTTATTTTTTGGTGTTGGAAAGAGGTATAAGTGGAATTTGTCTAATGCATGGTACTGCCCCTAGTAGTTCTTAATAATTTGTATATTTTCACCATTTAGGACATGGTTCTTCTGTAGTCTTCTCAGTGTCCATATCATCTTATAACAGTTTAGCACCCTAATCTTGATGATCTCATCTCCCTGATCTGTATTCCGCCTTTGTCTCTATGCTTTCAGGCTTGCTGCTGGCTGCATTGTTTCTTATGTTCTATAGTGACAGAAATTAGGTCACTTAAGTGTTTTAAATTAAGTCCAGACTCAAACACTGATTATCACCCTAACTGGTAGTCAGTATTTTTTTAATTTTTATTTTATCGATTATGCCATTACAGTTGTTCTATTCCCCCCTTTTCATTACCCTCCACCCTGCGCCCCCCACCTCTACCATTCCCCCTCCTTTAGTTTATGACCATGTGTCTCAAGTTCTTCGGATTCTATATTTCCCATACTATTCTTGCCCTCCCCCTATATATTTTCTACCTACCATCTATGCTACTTATTTTCTGTACCTTCTCCCCCCTTCTCCTTCTCCCACTGCCTTGTTGCTAACCCTCCATGTGACCTCCATTTCTATGGTTCTACTCCTGATCTAGCTGTCCTTTTAGTTTGCTTTTGTTTTAGGTGTGGTTGTTAATAACTGTGAGTTTGCTGTCCTTTCACTGTCCATATTTTTTATCTTCTTTTTCTTAGGTAAGTCCCTTTAACATTTCATATAATAAGGGCTTGGTGATAATGAACTCCTTGAATTTGATCTTATCTGAGAAGCACTTTATCTGTCCTTCCATTCTAAATGAAAGTTTTGCTGGATAGAGCAATCTTGGTTGTAGGTCTTTGGATTTCATGACTTGGAATACCTCTTTCCAGCCCCTTCTTGCCTGGAAGGTCTCTTTTGAGAAGTCAGATGGGAACTTCTTTGTAAGTAACTGTCTCTTTTGTCTTGCTGCTTCTAGGATTCTCTCCTTCATTTTAATCTTGGCTAATGTAATTATGATGTGCCTTGGTGTGGTCTTTCTTGGGTCCAACTTCTTTGGGACTCTCTGAGCTTCCTGGATTTCCTGGAAGTCTATTTCCTTTGCCAGATTGGGGAAATTCTCCTTTATTATTTGTTCAAATAAGTTTTCCACTGGTGGCTGTTCCTTTCCCCCTTCTGGTACCCCTATAATTCGGAAGATGTCCTGGAGGTTCCTAAGTCTCTCCTCATTTTTTTTGAATTCTTGCTTCTTCATATTTTCCTGTTTGGTCATTTTTTCCTTCCTTCTGGTTCACTCCCTTGATTTGAGTCCCAGTTTCCTTTCCATTACTATTGGTTTCCTGTGCAATTCCCTTCATTTCAATTAGTTTAGCTTTCATATGTTCCTCTAATTTGTGACTAAAATCAACCAGTTCTGTGAACATCCTGATCACCAGTGTTTTGAACTGTGCATCTGAAATTTTGGCTATTTCTTTGTCGCTTAGAATTATGGGCTCCGGGGCTTTGAGATCTTCTTGAGCCATTTTTGGTCTGTTTGAGCCCTTTAAGTATGAGGAGCAGAACCTTAGGGGCTGGGCAGGGCCTCCAGGGCGGGGTCACTGGGTTGTGATGCTGTATGTGGGGGCAGGGTGAGAGCCGGGGAAATGGCAGCCCTCTCTTTTGCCTTCGGTGGCTGGGACCCACTTGGTCCCGTCGAACTGCCCACTCCCTCACTGGTCTGTCTGTGCAAGAATGTTCCAGCACAGTCAACCCACCACCCTGCACCCTCGCTGGGTCCACCAGTCGCTCACTGGGTTGGCCCTTTGCAGCCCACACCTGGGATCTGCGCACCTGTGTCTGTCTGACCGAGTTTTACTGTGCAATCCCGCTCCGCTAGCTGCTGGTTTTGCCCCTCTTACAGGTCAGGCTGAAACATTTGTTGTTATCGGACTTCCGAAAAGTTCAATTTTCTGTGTTCTGGTTGTGTTTTCTGTTGCTAGAATTTTGTTGTCTCTAAACTTGGTTGTGTGAAAAAGCACGGCATCTCTACCTATGCCTCCATCTTGGCGGAAGTGGGGTAGTCAGTATTTTTAACACTGACTTTGATAAAGTTCATTCTTAACTCTGGTAAACTTTATGAAATACTCTTTTTAAGTATTGCAACTTTCTCATTATTGAGCTTTTTACAGGTTGTGTACATACAGTTCATATATATAACTTTGAACTGTATGGTCAGGGTAACTGGTTCTGACTGATGTTCTCAAGTTAATCATAAGAAAAGCCGCTAATATGTACCATAGTGGTACTTGTCTACCTCCTGTTATGTACCTATGTTTCCTTCACATTTTAAATTCTTTCAGTCCTTTCCAATTAGTGGCTCTGTGCTAGGCGTTAGTCCTTTACTGCTTGGCCAGCAGAGGGCTCTATAAGCATTGCAGTGAAAGACTGGATTGTGTGTCTGGAGTTGAACCTTCCTCATTTAGATCTTGTACTTGAGAGCTCTAGAATTTTTTTCTCTTTCAAAGGTGTTTATTGATTATATACAAAATAAAGAAAACCTTACATACCACAACATACACCATGTGCAGCAGTAAGGCACAGGGCAGAGTAGGTGCCAAGGCCAGCTGCCACAGGGAGGCCTCTTATCTACACCTCCAACCCCTACTGCCTGGGCACAACCCAGGGTACCCATCCTCTCTCCCCCTGGCTTCAGCCTTAGGTAGGATGGCCAGGTGTGATCAACTGTGCTTGGATACACTGGGCAGCCCTTGTCCTGTTTCCCTAATATGCTAGGGGAAGGCTTTTTGTACCCATTTCTCTTGGGTTAAAGGGTTTGAGACTAGGAGATTAAGAGCATGGGAAGAAGGGAGGGGCTGGGACACAAGGTTGAGGGCAGGGTTGCTCCTCATAGTTCATTGGGAACACCCATGTACTAATGCTGCTGTTGCAGAATAGGGTGGGAATGTATGTAACTGGCCCAATAGGTACAGCACTCACCTAGGACACACATAGAATTTTTGATAACTTTTTAAATTAAAAAATGTATATTCTTAGGAATATTTTACATAAATCCTTAAAGAAAGATATATTTTGGATCTGGCATAGTAACATCTTTAGATTAACCACTAAAAATAAATTGCTCAAATTCTTTTTTAATTAGTGACAAAACTAACCAATGTAAAAATATTTTAATTTTTTATACCAACATTTTAAGTTGGTAATCTAACTGCATGTCTGTAAGTTTCAGTATCTAAACTTCTCTACTGGATGTGTTGTTTTGAAGGTCTCCATCACATTTTTGCCCAGAGATAAAGGAGATTATGCCCAGTTTTGGGATGTTGAATGTCATTCCCTTAAAGAGCCTCACAGGAAACATACCTTGAGATTTCAGCTCTCTGGACAGGTGAGTATTACACTAAATTTATATATATTATTGTATGTGCATATTAAAAACTAAATGAAACTGAATGCAAAATTGGCCTGAAAATGCAGAATATTTTTCTGGTATTATTCTAATTTTATTAATTATGCCGTATACCCCTATCTTAATTTTCTCATTTATTTTTATTGATTGGTATGTTAGAGGTCTGGGTTTGTCTTTATAAAATATATGTTTGACTTGATACTCTGTGTGTGTGTGTTGTGTGTGTGTGTATCTGAGAAACTGTGAACAGTGAAAATTATAGGGCTTGTGATTTATGGAATTTAAAAATTTTAAGTCTTATTTTAAAAATTGTGAAGGATATATAGTAGAATTCAAAATGTTTTAGTTGTTCATATATTTTCCTAGAATATTTATTTCTCCTCCACTGTATAATTTCTTTTTATATAGAGTATCAAAGCAGAAAATGAGCCTGAAAATTTATGCATTTCTACAAATACTCTTATTAAAATAGACAGTTTAGTAAAGTCCCGAAGACAAGCCATATCAGAAGCTTCTGCTGTCATACCTGGGTATGTTGTTTTGGCATTCTTATAAATTTTTTTCTCAGTACTTTGTTGAGGTACAATTACATTTCGTAAAATGTTCCCTGTCCTTACCTAGGAGTTTACATGTGTTACTAGTACTTGAATTAAGATACTGTTTTTCTTCCCTTGGAAAGTTCTTTATGTCCCTTTGTAGTCAGTCCTAACCCTCACCCCAAGGTTTGTTCTGTTCTAATCTATTACCATAGGTTATATATGCACTCTTTCTAGCAGGCTTCTTTCACTTAACATACTTCCCAAAATTTACATTCCCAAAATTTTTAAAAAATTTCATGAAAATAGGTTCTTCAAAACTTTTAAGAATGTATGTTTTATACCAGTAGCTTACACAACTTTAATGATAATATTCAAGAATTTTACCTAATGAAAATGTTTCTAATAATTCTTAAATAACTAATGTTTACATCTGAGCCAGTTCTGGAGGAAGGTGCTTGTAAGAATATGTTAAATACCTAGTGAATTAAATATTAATGTGTGGTCATTTATTTCTAATAGGAGTAAATATGCACTTTGTAAGAAATGGAATCCTTTAAAGAATAGAATATGTGTTTTTATCTCACTCTATGCTATTTTCTCATCTGCTCAACTCACGCTTACTGAGTGCTCTCTGCATTCTGGGTAGTAGAGATAAGACAATGAGCAAAACTGCCCCAGCTATTGCCTCCACAGACTTCCCTCTGGAAGAGGAGCCACATCACAAATAATCACACTAATAGGGTTGATTACAACCTTCAAAAAGTACTGAAAGAAAACAAATGGGAAACATGGGGAAATATATCTGGGAAGAACCTCCCTAAAATGGGACCTTTAAGTTGAGAATGAATGAAAATGACCTAGGTGAAGAGAAATGTGTAAACAACCAGGGTAGTGGGGATTGTTGGAGCTCAAGGAACTAAAAGCAGCCCACAGGCCTACAGCACAGAGGAGAGAGAGTGGTATGAGGTAAGGTTGGAGAGGGAAGTGGGTAGAGTGCAGGTCATGTAGGGTCTCATGTCAGGTTTTTATCTAAAAGGCCTCTAGAAACCATTGAGTGGCATGATCAGATGCTAGTATTTACAGAAAAATCCTTCTGGCTGTAGTATGAACTGATTAGAAGGAGGCAAGAGTACATACTATGAAACAAATCAGAGGGTATTTTTAAGCAGTCTACAATAAGAGAGAGTCAAGAAAGGTGATGAAAAATAGACACTTTTAAAGTATATAGGAAGGAGATTTGAAGGACTCAGTGATGGATTGGGTAAAGGGGCTCATTGAGAAAGAAATGGTTCAAGGTTAACTCCCAGATACCATTCCTCTAGACAGGAAATACAAATGGAAGATAATGATTGAGAAGAAAGGTGACAAGTTTATTCTGTTTGTGGAGCCTTAAGGAGATAATTGTGAGGTGGTTGGATATGTTAGCCAGAAGCTCAATCTAAGTTGAAAAACAAATCTGGAGGTCACATAGGTGTGAGGTCACTGGATCACCTGAGATGGGATTGTCTAAGGAAAGTGTCATGTGAGCAAGTAGAGATGTCCAAGGCCAAGCTTTGTGGGACAGAAGCATGACAGGTGTGAGGGAGTAGACGTGAGACTGATGAGTGGCCAGAGAAAACCAGTGGACTGTGCTGTGAGGAGCCAGTGAAATAGACTAAGATGAAAGGACCGCCTTTTGGTTTGAGGTGAGTGGAGAACCAGACTTTAGTAAAAAAGAGGGTCCATGGTTGTGCCGCTGCTGTCTTACATAGCAGACAACCCAGCAAGCACCTCTGTAAGAGTGTTCCTGCTGTCAACATTTTACCTTTGCATGACTTAGTTAAATAGCCATTACAAAAGTATTTTTTAATTGAGTTGTAGGGGAAAACACAAATTTAAAGCACTACTTCCTAATTTGATGTATCTAAATTGTTTAAATTACATTTGGGTTTTAAATAGATGACTTTTAAACCTTTTTTCAAAGCAGACAGCTTGATTTGACCCACCGTGGAGTTTATGCCCCAGAAGATGTGTATTGGTTTTTACCGACTAGAGTTGGGGAATCAAGGACATTAAAAGTCAATTTGCGAAATAATTCTTTTATTACACACTTGGTAAGTTATAAATATTACTATGAGTTTTAGAAAAGTAAATGTATTCAACTATTTGATAAATAGTTTCCTGGTAATTAGAAGCTTATGTTAATATTTAAAGTGCTTTAATATATTTGAAATGAAATTAATGGAAAGTCATGACACTTTATCTGAAAATCAAAAGCATGTAGCACTTGTTTTCTTTCATATTTTTCATTTTTTAACTTTTTCTCTTTGTTCTGTAACATCAGACCAACATATTTCTGGATAACATTTACTCTAGTCAAAGTTAGAGTAAATACATATTAAAATTTACTTTTATCTGTTTTTATGAGTATTTATTTTCTTACCCAATTTTGTGGATATACCTAAATCTATAAATGTAAATGTATGTTCAAATATCTCACTTGCATAATTTCATTAAGTGCTTCATATTAAATTGCAGCTGAAGTTTTTAAGTCCCAGAGAGCCTTTCTACGTCAAACATTCAAAATATTCTTTGAGGTGAGTTTATCATAAATTAAAATGTTCTCATGCTAATGCAGAAATTTGTTTTCAGGATATCAGAATATATCACTTGGGAGTTAGGACTTGTGAGGTCTTCCTCTGTTGCATCTCCTCATCTTTACAACCAATACCATAAAGCAGTAAACACGTAGGACTTCTTAAATAGGAAAAGAGATAAGGAGACTGCAGGGATAACATTTCGTGACTGACCACTAGTGTCTTTACAGTGCAGCAATTCAAACTTCACACAATGTTTTGCACTTAACATATGATTCCTGTTACCCAATATTGTGTCAGCCACAAAAATACATAGAATTTTAATTATCTTGTGATTAACTATAGAATAATTTCTTCTTGAAATATTATTTTTACTATGCTGAGAATCAGGGATTTAGATTTTCACTAATTTGGACAAAAATTAGTTTTTCCAGATTAGTTGGGAAAACTTTCATTGTGGTATTTTTCAGTTCTTATTCCTCAAAAACCTTGTATGTTATTCTAAATCAGGGCTTCATTTCCTGTGTCCTTGCTAATTTTCTTTTTCCATATGATGTATGTTTAAGTTGAAACCTCAAACTCATTTGTCCCTGTTAGTTAAGTTTTATTGGACTTCATACTAAAGAGTAATTTTATCTTTAATTAAACCATTTAATTATTATAAGATCTTTCCCTTTTAGCGTTATGAGACTATGCCAAAAACATGTTACATTCTGTGAAAATTCAGACCACTCAGCAAAGATTCTAGGACCATCTTTATGGAGTTACTTAGACCAGCAGTGCTATTCTGTAGGAGCTTACACATATATCTAGATACCGAAAAGGGAGAGGCCTATTCTCTCCACCTCTTACCTTTTCATTCTTTTCCTCTTTTACACCACCCTTTCCCCATCCTGGTACTATGTAACATGTTATTTATGTACTTGGGAGTTGAGCACTTTCTTTGCCTTCCAAGGAGGCTGACCTAGAGGCAAACTGCAACTTCAACAATCTAGAAATTATCATAGACTTAATCTAAGTCTGAGTTTCCTAACAGGTAAAATGGAGCTGATAATGCTTCTGGTAACAGGTAATAGTTATGAGTACATAGAAGATGTGCGTTAGTGCCAGGTCATAGGAAGCACTCAATGGTATCCTCAGCATTATTAATAAAGCCTTTCTTTTTAAGTGGGCCCTACTGGCAGGATCCACAAGACTAACTTCAGAGATTTTTTCTTTCAATGCTTTCCTATTTAATTCCTTCAATAAGTACATAAAAGAGAAAGGCCTAAATTTTTAAAAACTACTACACCCAAGTTTTCCATCTCTGCTCTCCCAGAAGTTTGTTGACCCCTCCAGTTAATGAAGGTTTGTTTGCCTTAATTGGTCTGAGACGAGTGATATACTAATGTATTAAAATAGGTCAGTACTGTTAAATACGTAGTGGCATAACTGCAGAAGCAGTTAGTTTATTTAAAAATAACTGTAATAAAATAATAAAAGATTAAATAAAATGTTTTTAATAACATAAAAATAGATTATTTAAATTACCAATTGTAACTTTTTATAACCAAGTACAAATAGATGCTAAATAAATGATCTATCTGAACAGTTATTATCTGAATTTTAACTTTATCATAACTTCATTATTCTGCTTCCCTTTTATTCTCTGCCTGATTTACATTCCCAATATTAACCAGCTTTGGGTGGAATACTTGTATGTAAACTAGCATGCACCTGGCAGAACTTCCTGGAAGGGCTTCAGATTTTTCTCTCAGGGAGCTCTTACATTAAAAAATATATATTTTTTTAAAATTAAGCTACTTTAAAAGGTTCCAAAAAATCTTGCAGTTCTTTGTCTTTTTATTCCCCTGAACAGCCTAGTACAATTTAAAAAAAAAAAAAACAGAAGATAAGCATTTAGCTCATCTATAGTTTTGATAAGGAATCATTTAAAAATAAGTGTTGAATTGTTTAGCTTTATGTCACTATTCCCTATATTATGGTAGTCAAAACTTGCCTGGAGTTAAGATTTATTTTCTAGCTTTAATCACTGCATACATAGTGGTTTCAAATTCTCTGTTGGTATTATATTTTTTGTGTATTATGATTCACAGATTTTTTTAAATTCTATTTCAGCTGAAATTTATAAGCCAAATTAGTTATCTTCTTGGCCCTTTACAGAAAAAGAAACTAAACCTGTTCCATTATAAGTGTTCCAGGCAGCAGTCTATTTCCAATATGGAGTATAGGAAAAGATGAATTGAATGAAAAGGGATATAAGGGGAAATTGGGAGTGGCATCCTTTTGCAGTGTACAGCAGTTGTCACTGAGGTATTATAATTTTGACATTACCCAAAATCAAGTATAATTTTGGCAATGAAAATGTCAAATTACTCTCATATTAATTTTTTTGTCATCTATATTTTCTAACAAACTAGTAATGATATATTTTTCTGGATTTAATAGTTGTCTTAATAGCAACAGCAACAGCTACCACTGGTCTTCCTCCTCCTTTTCCTGTTCATCCTGACTTCAGTATTGCAGATGTGATGAAAAATTTTAATGAGAAATTCAGTTTTTATAAATGAGATGGCATTTTGCTTAGCTTCAATTTGTTTTCTGAAAACCAATTTTGAAATATAAAATGTATTCATTGCTCGCCATTTAAAAGTAGACAGTTTTATAGCATTGAACTTGTTGACTTATCATTCCAGTGCTAGAAAATTGTAAAATGTCATAAATAAAAACACTGCTTTTCTATGCGGCCTAGATTATGTTAATAGCATCTAAAAAAAACTTTAGAAACATGAGAAAATATTTTAATTCCTGCAAAACTGGAGCAGTTTACATAAGCTAGCATTTAAAATAGCATCATCACAAGATATATTTTCTCTGCTTTATACTTTTTGAACCTGTCACTTAAAAATATTTTTAAATTTTTATGTTTTGAAGATAAACTTAAATAAGATAATTTTGTACTTTATTCGTTTATTAGTGGCAGCTACTTACTGTTCTGAGCATGATGAGTTTTCAGAAACTTTTCATACATATTAACTGTCATTTGGACCTTAGGATAAATATGTAATGTTACAAATTCCAGCAGCAACTCTCATAGCAGCAACTCAGTATAAATTTGATAAGAATGAGAAAATCTTGTGTATAAAGCACTAACTCTATGATCTATTTAACCAAATGGAGTGAACTGACTTAGGAGATGTGAACTGATTTAGGAGATTTAAACTGACTTAGGAAATGTAAACATAAATAGGCAGGAGTTTTTCTTTATAAGTTACAGAGGTCTTGCCTAATGCAGAGCTAGATGAGCATGAATGTATATAGGGATGTGTAACCCACTTAATAATAGATTATAAAGAAGAAAAGTGAAAACATTAAGTTTCTTGTAAAGGTTTTTTTTTTCTGGATTCTAGGTGATCATCCCCTTCACATGTCTTTTTAAAAAGAGTTTATTCATGTTCCCACTTAGACCTAAAAAGCATCCTTCTGCTAACCTATTTTATTCAAGTCTAATCTCTGGTGAGGAGTCAAATTAATGCATTTCCCCTCTTCTGTGCCCAGGCCTCCATGTACATGGTGTATTGCAGGTCCTGGCCAGCTGCAGCCTCTGAACTGACAGACCCTGCCATGTCATTTGAAAGGGACGGGCAGTTCTCACAAAGTCACAGCCAGGGAACAACACTATCATGATCTGTCATTACTTATCAACTATGCACAGGAACCAAGCAATTTGTTACTTTTAAAAAATTTCTTTGATGATGATAGTATTTTGACTATGCTAATGTGCTAGCTTTTCCTACAAAAAGCGATCCTTAAAAAAAAAGATTTTATTTATTTATTTTTAGAGAGGGGGAAAGGAGGAAGAAAGAGAGGGTGAAAAACATCATTGTGTGGTTGCCTCTCATACACCCCCTACTGGGGACCTGGTCTGCAACCCAGGCATATGCCCTGACTGGGAATCAAACCAGTGACCCTTTGTTTTGCAGGCCAGTATTCAATGTACTGAGCTATACCAGCCAGAACTCCTTTTAAATTAAATAAGGAAAATTATGATTTATACAATTTGTAGGTTCTGATAAGCTCTTTATATGTAGATGGGACATGTACCTGAACCAAGTGGTTTAGCATACACTTCCATGACTGCCTCTCTGCTTTCCTAATGTGTTTTTACTTTTGTGTGCCTTTACTGTAAAATTAGTCATTTGCTAACAAAAGGTTTTAAACTAGACCTCTCCATTGTATTCAGGATACTTTACTATTACCTTTTCTGTTGTGTGTGTGTGTATAGAAAGAGAAGAGAGATTAATGCAGTTTTTAATAATAGTACAAGATGACATTTTTTAAAAATGTAACTCTTATTGGTAGTTTTCTATAGCTATATTGCACTTCATGGTTCTTTTTCTGAATTGCACTGAATTCAAAGGATGTATGAATCTAAAGCAGATGATATATGTTTATCATAATGTTTTAAAAACACTTCCTTACTTGAATATAGAACTGTATTCCATATTGAAATTTGTTAATGATGGGATCTTTCAGAAATTTATTTTGGTAATTCAAAATTATTTTTAATAATTCATAAATTATAAATCCTCTAAAGTTGGCAAATAGTACATTATTCTGAGTATTAAAATGCTAATATGAAAGAGAAAATTGTAGTTTGCCAATGCCATGGACTGTGTATCATTTTTTAAAAAACAAACAGCTTTGACATGAGAACATAAGGTATTAATGCATTTGGAGAAAATAAGGTATTAATGCATTTGGAGAAAATTTGGAGACTTTAAGTACAGACAGACAGATATAGGTATATAGAGATATGTAGAGATATATAGATATATATGATTTTTTTGTCTGTGTTAATCAGTTATATTCAGGAAAATTGCTTTGAAATACTTAAATTATTTCCTTAATTCTAGCCATTGGAAACAAAAGCATAATATTAGTTCTGGTTGCTGAACTTTAAAACGTGTAGGTCTAAGGTGAGACTAAGGGGATAGATAAAGTTCCTCCCTGCTGAGGGAATTCTAAAAGCTGTACATTTTCACTGAAAAACAATTAAGACTGAGTGTAGTTAACATCACATAGGCTATGCTAAAGTATATGTAGTCTCATTCTCCATGAAAATAAGTGTATTTTTAAGGCTCTTGGGACCTGATTTTATGAACAGAAACAAACCTGCCAACATACTACTTTTAAACATAGGGCACTCATTATCTGCCTTGATATCATCTGAAAATAAGTTTTCAAGGAGATTTTTGATAAATGGTTCATGTGAGCTTTGGAGCAAAAAATATATATAGTCTGGTTACTGATGGGCATGTGACAAGTCAATTTATATTCTCCCCAGTTGAAGATTGGGATATGTAAAGTGTTCTTGTTTCCTTTGTTAGGTAGACAGACACCTGCCTTTGCAGATGGAATATAAAGTTCCATATACAAATAGGTCAGAACTCTGATTTCCTCTGTGCTGTTTTTATTGGTTAGCCAGGAATACATATAGAGTACTTCTGAATCAGATTTTAAATTTTTCTCTCCTTTTGCAAGTTTTGCATTAAATAATAATGTTAAAGAAATGAGAAATAAATTTAGATTGACTATAACTGGACTAGGTTCCTACATCAAAAAACCTACTGAGCTCTCTGCCAGCTTTTGTGCTTAACTGTGGCAGGTGATTTGTTTGTTGCCATATCATCAGGCTGCTGACACTTTCCTTTCTCTTTACAGAGCCCAGCATTACATCAACATGCCAGTGCAGTTCAAACCAAAGTTGGTGGGCACATTTGAAGCTTCACTTGTTATTCAAACAGACGAAGGCAAGAGTATAGCTATTCGACTAATTGGTGAAGCTCTTGAAAAAAATTAACTCTAATACATTTTGTCTAAAGTAAATGGTATAAGTTATATTTTGGTAACTTCATTTTTCTACACTACAATTTTATTCTTGTATATATTTTATATAATAAATATGTAAGCAGTAGGTATTTTTTTGTTGTTTTGAGAAGTTAATACTAAAGACCTGACTAAAATATCATGTATGTAGCCTACATTATTGTGCTTAATTTTTACAGGGGAAAACAAAAGAGTTTTATTTTTGCATTGATTATGATATTATGAGTAAATATGCTATACCGTTTAATGTGGTATATCCAGAAATAAAGTTAATTATCACTGAACTTGTTTTTTTATATGATATCATACAAAAATGAAAGTATAGCTTTATTGTAATTACTTCCAAGCTCTTGAATCTGTTTTGTGATTTTTCTCTTCCAGTACATAGTTTCCTCTCCTCTAATAAATTCCTTCTCTATTCCTTCTGTCCTTTAGTTGATTGTCCAAAGTAGAAAGGAAAGGTTACTTTTTTTTATGATTCACAATTCAATCATTTCTTTTAAAGATTTTATTTATCTTCAGAGGGGAAGGGAAGAAGAGAGAGAGAGAGAAATATCAATGCGTGGTTGCTTCTTGTGCATCCCCTGCTGGGAATTGGCCTGCAACCCAAGCATGTGCCCTGATTGGGAATCGAACCGCAATCTTTTGGTTCACAGGCCCACACTCAATCCACTGAGCTACACTAGCCAGGGCGAAATGTTACTTTTTAAAATTTTTTTCTCTATAGTAGGAAAACTCTTTATATGCAAATACATTGGAGAGGTTAATGTATTCTAAGATAGCATTTATTGTAAGTAAAGCCAGAGGAGATAACTGCTCCATAATCTGGCATAGACAGGCACTCTGCAGGCACCAGTGCAATCAGGATAGCAAAGCTTTTCTGTTGTGACATCTTGCACTGTGACAAGTTGTGAGATAGAGAAGGTGATGTGGTTACCTGGTTTTAATAATCATGTTTCTCCTATCCAGGAGGAACATGATTATTAACTGCTTTCCAACCTTACTAGTAAGTCTCCTGATAAAGATTTCTGAACCTCAGCTAATATCCTTCCTTTTGGTGCAACAAAATCCCAGATTGTGAACATTTGTGTGGTGGAGTGGGGTTGATCACCCCACCACACAAATATTCACAAATGGCTTATATATTGGTGGAGCAGAAAGACTACGTACGGATTATATAAAAACCTGCCTTAGATGACCTAAAAGCAGTAGTAATTTAGAACCAATGATTGTGAGCTGAAGACAGAAAAACAGATCCCTTCTTTTTTCTTGCACTTTTTTTTTCTTTTTTTTTAAATTGTTGTTCTAGTATAGCTTCCCAACTATTTCCCTTTTTGTTCTTCCCTGCTCTCCCCTATTTCCACAATCAACCTCTACCCTGTTGTTCATGTCCATGGATCATTTATACTTGTTTGTTGATTAGACCCTTCCCCATCTTCCCCCCAACTTCATTTTTCTCTTGCTTGGAAACCCAATTTGTGAAAACAATTTTTACAAGTTAAACAGTTGTTGGTTTCACTGATATTAACCTACTCCAAATCTAGATGTTTTATATCAATTCTGAGAGGCCTTCATGTTTGTGCATTTATTTGATAATAGTCATACTCAAAATTAAAACAGGTACTGCTTTTTAAAAATGCGATGTTCCCATTTCTGTGTAACCATCATTTTGCCTTTTAGATGATGTTCAGGAGGTCACAAAAGAGGAGGGTTAAACCTGTGGTGGTTGATGTGGCAGGAGGAGAAACTCCCAGCCTCACAGGAGAGTTTATTGGAAACACATACAGAGTCCTAGAATGTAAACAAACCCACCCACCCACCTGGGAATCAGCACTAGAAGGGCCCAATTTGATTGTCAGTAGCAGGGGGGGTGACTGAAAACTGGCATAGAATGGAAACAAGCGGCATCGTTCCCTCTTGGAACCCTCCCCCACATACAGCGTCACAATGCAGCACAGAGGGTCCCCACCCTGGTGAGCACCTAAGGCTCTGCCCCTTACTACATAACAGGTGCGCTGAGACAAAAAAAATATGGCCCAAATGAAAGAACAGCTCAAAGCTCCAGAAAAAATACAACTAAGAGACAGAGATATCCAGCCTATCAGATGCAGAGTTCAAAACACTGGTAATCAGGATGCTCACAGAATTGGTTGAATATGGTCACAAATTAGAGGGAAAAAATGAAGGCTATGCTAAATGAAATAAAGGAAAATATACAGGAAACTAACAGTGATGGGAAGGAAACCAGAACTAACATCAACAGTTTGGACCAGAAGGAAGAAAGAAACATTCACTGGAACAGAATGAACAAACAAGAATTCAAAAAAATGAGGAGAGACTTAGCAACCTTCAGGGCAACTTTTAAACTTTCCAATGTTTGAATCACAGGGATGCCAGAAGGAGAAGAGGAAGGGCAAAAAACTGAAAACTTATTTGAAAAAATAATGAAAGAGAACTTCCCCAATCTGGCGAAGGAAATAGACTTCCAGGAAGTCCAGGAAGCTCAGAGCACCAAAGAAGTTGGACCCAAGAAGAAACACAATAAGGCACATCATAATTATGTTAGCCCGGATTAAAGATAAGGAGAGAATCTAAAAAACAGCAAGAGAAAAGGAGACAGTTGTCTACAAAGAAGTTCCCATAAGGCTATCAGCTGATTTCTCAAAAGAAACCTTGCAGGTAAGAAGGGGCTGGAAAGTAGTATTCCAAGTCATGAAAGGCAAGGACTTACATCCAAGATTACTCTATCTAGCAAAGCTGTCATTTAGAATGGAAGGGCAGATAAAGTGCTTCTCAGATAAGGTCAAGTGAAAGAAGCTCATCATCCCCAAGCCCTTATTATATGAAATGTTAAAGGGACTTATCTAAGAAAAAGATAAAAAATATGAACAGTAGCCCTGGCTGGTGTAGCTGAGTGGATTGAGTATGGGCCTGCAAGCCAAAGGATCAGGGTTTGATTCCCAGTCAGGGCACATGCCTGGGTTGCAGGCCAGTTCCCAGCAGGGTACGCTCGAGAAGCAACCATACATTGATATTTCTCTCCCTTTCTCCTTCCCTTCCCTTCTAAAGATAAATAAAATCTTTTTTTAAAATATGAACAGTAAAATGACAACAAACTCACAGTTATTGACAACAGAACCTAAAACAAAAATGAGCTAAGCAAACAACTACAATAGGAACAGAATGACAGAAATGGAGATCACATGGAGGGTTGCCAGTGCAGTAATGGGAGGGGGAAAAGATACAGAGAATAAGTAGCATAAATGGTAGGTAGAAAATAGATAGGGGGAGGTTAAGAATAGTATAGGAAATGGAGAAGCCAAAGAACTTCTTTGTATGGCCCATGGACATGAAATAAAAAGGGGGAATGCAGGTGGGAGAGGGTGTGCAGGGCAATGGGAAATAAAGGGGGGAAATGGGACAACTGTAAACATAATCGCTAAAACTTTTTTTTAAAGAGGGTTAAACAAGCAAACTTGAAATGTGACTCTCCTCTCATAGATCATGTACTTTTGTGGATATGTATTTCTTCCTGTGCATTCATGTTTTGGAAACATGTTGCTTAGAGTTTTAAGAGCACTTGGATGTGAACCAAAGATTTGTTGCAAGCAGTGATCACTACTGATGTAACTACAGACCATTGGCTATAATCTATAATGTGTAAGAGCATCTAATAGGCAAAGTTAGAGAATAAGCTTTTTTTCATTAGCTTCTTGTTTAGAAACCTTTTTTTCTTTCTTCCTATCCATTCCTAGTTGGTATCTTGAATCTTAACCTATCCTCTGAGCTCCAGACTTTTATGTTCAAGTGCGTACATTTCTACTTGCTTATCCAGTAGGCATCTCAAACTTTGGGTTCCCTCCTTGGGTCAGACATGTTTTTCTCTAGCTTTCCTTATCTCAGGAGATGTCACCCTGTCCATTCAATTAGCTAAAACCTTAGGTTTTGGGTCTTTTACTCTCATGCGCCACATTAGCACTCTCCGAAAGTATATCTCAAATAAGTTCTTCAGTCCATGCCCAGTGTTGGCCACAGTGGCCCAAGCCATCTCTCTCAGACCACTGCAGCATTTACTTCGCCAGACTGCTGCTGATTTTGGCTCAAGAACCCTTTCTCCATCAGTGGACAGTTTTATTCTTAAAAGGTAAACCAGAGCCAAGACACCAAGACTACTCTGTATTATGTGTATGTGTGTGCATATATCTATATATATACACATACATACTTGGGGTGTGTGTGTGTGTGTGTGTGTGTGTAAATTTCATGTAGTCTGAAGATTGGACTCTGCTGTGGTCTAGGAGGCCTATCATCATTTGGATCCAGCCTCCCTTCAACCTCACCCACCCTCCCACTGCTTGCTCACTAAGCCCAGCTCTGGGGTACAGCTTGTTCCTTACCTGCCCTGCAAGGCCTTTCCTGACCACCTCATCTAAGGTAACCCCCTGTCTCCTTATTGCATCATTCTGTTTGCATTATAGCCCCTCGTGTCTACCTGATACTTTCTTGAATATTGTGTTTACTAGTTAATTGTCTCCCCACTCTAGAATTATAAGCTCTGTGTGACTATTGACCTGTTCTCCCTCAGTTTCCACTACATCTCCAGACTTCATCAGTGCCCTGTATGTTATGTGACCAACTGGCCAGCAGTGCTCATTGCCCTGTTCCAAATGTCCAAGTTGTCCCTTTTCACCACTCCCAGTAAATATCATCCCATGCTTCCCCCAAGATTTCTTACATGGTTTCTCACCTGTGTCCTATAGACAGTTTTTAATAATAATAAATATTTGCTGAATGCTTCCTATATGCCAAGTAGTGTCCTCAATGCTCTGTATATGTTGTCACCCTTTAATTCCCAATAGCTTTATAGACACATCCCTTGGGGAGGGAGGCCTTCCTGCTACTGCAGCTTGCAGGCCTCCCTGCAGGCCCACCAGGAAACATCTGGTGACTGATTGGTGGGTCAATAGTGGGTGGGGCTGTGGGTGGGGCTGAGCATCTGGAGGGGGTGGGCTGCCATGGGATGGCCTGGTGTAGATGAGCAAACTCAGATCCAAACCTTGGTTTTTCTGACTTTGGTGCTCAGTTGCAGATAAAAGAACTTAATTATTAAAGCTGATAATTAGAGAAAATATAAACTGGTTTATGTCTGCTCTTAAAAGTTTGATTCCCTCTGATTGTAAAGCAACCCTGAGATAGCAAATTAGCATGTCAGAGCTGGGTTGATGCTTTCGGTACACAGTCCTGCTTGTAAACTAGGCAAGATGTTTAGCAGGCCAGACTTAAGTTCTGTAGAGTTCAGTAATGATTTATGTACATCATTACTGATTTAATTAGTCCAGAAATGAGGCTAGATAAAAAGACATCTGCTTTTAGTCTTCGATTAAACTCTGAAATACAGATGATTTTATATACATACATGTATTTTATGGAACACAGACCTCTTGGTATAATTAAATTGGTTTGTTTCTCACAAATATGAACTTGTTATCTTTGCCCTTTTTCTTAAGTGGGTTTCCTCTTTTTTAATTCAGTATTTTCTAAATTTGTATATTTGACATGTTGATTCTGGTATTTTACAAAGTTTTGATACAAACCTTGTTTTGAAGTGAAAAACTATCTTCCTAACATCTTCCTAAATGAGATTTTTTAATGTCTTTTTCACTTAGTAAAACTAATGTGTCACTCTTTTTTTTTAAGATTTTATTTATTTATTTTTAGAGAAGGAGGAAGGTGGGAAGAAAGAGAAGGAAACATTGATTGATTGCTTCTTGCACATGCCCCAAACCAGGGACCAAGCCTGGGTTATATGCCCTGACCAGAAATTGAACTGGTTACTTTTCACTTTGTGGTATGATGCCCAACCAACTGAGCCACACCAGTCAGGGTTAATGTGTCAGTCGTAAAGATACATTCTGGATACCCAAACTGATTGAGATCTACAAACTCTAGCATCAGATTCATTTGGCATCCCAAAATTTTTGCTTTTCAAACTTTGTGCAAATTGTACCTTTTTAGGTTTCTAGTCACTTTTTACTGGATTCCAAAATGCTGATACAAAGTCCTACACAAAGTCCTGTGCAGTATCATCCTGCCTTATTAATGTGGGTTTTTTTGATCTCCAGACACCTTCTTGAATGCCTAAATCCTAGAGGATCACATTTTTTGGACATTGTTTGATAGCACTACTTTCTCCGTCAGTTTTAACAGGTCAATGACAAAGTAGTGAAAATAAACAGTTCAAATATTAAATATATTTTATTTTAAAGAGGAGTAATTTGCTCACTTGTTCTTGTGTTTTTATACCACTTCCTATATTACCCGAGTTTGGATAAAAGAATGAGCAGATGATTTTAAAAAATATTCAGAGCTCTGACATTCTTAAAGCATCTGCTTTTGTAAATAGGGATTATTCAAATAAAGAACAAGGTGGGTGTGATAGGCAGCTTCTAAGATGGTCCCACCTCCTAGTATTCATTGTCCCATGTGATCTCTACTTGAGTAACTTGCTTCTAATACCACAATGTTGATGGAAATGTCACTCCTGTGATTAGATTACATACCTGGCTCGTTAATTCTTCCTTGCTGGCTTTAATGAAGCAAGCTGCTATCCTGAGGAGAGCCT